AACTCAGTTAGCATCAACACACAACCAATATCAACCATTTTCTTCTTATTATCTTTGGTATCTAATAGACAGATTTCATTTTATCATTGATGACATTCAATCAATTTTAACATTTACGAAAAACACTTGTTTTAATGAATTTGCGAACGAATTTATGAACGAAAGACAAAAGGCTGAATTAGAAGGAAATAAAGGAAAAAGTTTATTTTGCAAAATTTCACTTAATGGATCATATGGTTACGATGCAATGAATACACAAAATTACGCAAAGACTAAAATAATGAATGCACAGAAGGCACGCGTTGCATGTATGTCAAATAAGTTTAAAAACATAAGAGAAATAGGAGAGGATACATATCAAGTGATGCTTAAAGATAGATTTTATAGATGTGATACATGTTTACAAGAGGCATTCTTCACTTTAGATAACGCAAAATACTGGTATTTGGTTTTCATTTATGATTTTATGTATAAATGCATGGATGTTAATCGTTTTCATTTCATTGAAGGTGATACTGATTCATCACATTGGGCAATCGCTGGCGACCCAAATCTTCCTAACACTCAAGCATTTCAAGCAATTGTAACCGATAAAAAATTTTATGATAAAAACATTTTCAAATTCGCACCTTTTGATTTCTTCTGTTTTGATGAGAAATTTAAACCTAAATTAAAGAATAAAGCTGAAGAAAAAGCACATGAGAAAAAATTATTGGGTTTAGCAATTGAGAAACAAGGTGATAACATGGTTGCTTTATGCCCTAAGTGTTATACATCATTCAACGGAATGATTGATGGAAGTGATTTTAAAAAGATTGCACAAAAAATGAAAGGAGTTAGTTTACGACAAAATAAACAATTAACACCTAAAAATTATTTGGATATAATAAATGATAAAGTGATATTTGATGGTCAGAATATTAATTTACAACTTAAAAACGGGTCAATGACTCGCTTAACAATGGTAAGACTGCATTAACAGGAGCACACACTAAGGCTGTATGTTGTGAAAATGGATGTTGTATGCCATTTATTTAATAAAATACCACAGAAGAGACAAAAGGAACCGTTAATAATGGTTTTTACTATGATTCAAAGAGGTGGGCACCCTTAAAACATTTATTTTATTTTTATATAAATGGATAACACAGATTTAAAAATTTTAATTGATGATTTAGTATTTAATCAAAATTTTCTTGATTATTATGATTTAAAAGCATATCTCCAAAAACATAATAAAAATATAACGGGTGATGATATGGATTATTATTATTCGTATTATAAAAATGAAATTTTGAAATATCATGATAAAATAATTTCTAAAATTAAAGACAAAATTAAAAATAATGAATATTCAAAGGGAAAAAGTAAATCACAACTTAAACAATTGAAAGATTTCAAAAATAAAGTATTAACAGAAGAAGATATTGATGAATTATATAAATTATATAAATTATATAATCCTGAGCCGCAAAAACCAAAGGAACAAAAACAAAAGGTGCAAAACGCCCAGGTCCTTCAGACCATAAATGAAGCACAAGCTTTAATTTATGATTCATTAGTTAAACCATATTCAGCCCGACTTTTAAATGAAGATCAACTTTTGGAATTCATCCTTCAACATAAACTCGAAGCGGGAAAGTATATCAAACCTTTATATACAGCATATTTAAAACAAATGAATAGAATACATCCAGAATTAATGAAGGGGGGAATGAAATCCAAAATCAAAGCAGATAAAATTAAACCACTTGCAACACCAAAACCTCCAACAGTAGTACCTCCTCCTTCAGTTAATCCTTCATCATTCACTTTATTATATCCATTTCAAACATTAAAGAAGCAAAAAGATTTTAAAAAGGATTTCAAAATATTAAATAAACCAACTGACCCAAAAATTCAACCGTTAAAGGAAAAATTTAGTCGCCCTTCATTTGCACCATATCCATATTCATACGAAATCGATCATTTAGAATATTCAAGAGGAAACGTTACTTATTTATTTGCCATTAACATTAACACTAGATATTTATATTGCATTCCGGTGAAAGGGAAAACAGAACAGGAAACAAGAAGAGTTATTCAATACTTACTAGATCATGAAAGAGTAGATAATATAAGGGTGATGGTGATAAAGGATTTCAGGCAGCCTAACTCATTATTTCCCACAAATTAATTTTTACTTTCATCCTCTCATATACGTTTCATAATAAAATAGTTGATGCGGTAATGAGAACTCTTAGAGATGCGTTAGGGGTTAACGGTCAAATATACTGGGATGGAAATCATGACTCCATCATACAGCAGTTAGTATATTATTACAATAATACATGGCATAGAACTATTAACATGAAACCAGTGGAAATGAAAAATGATATTTCAAAAGAATGGGAATATATTAGAAAGCAAATGGAAAGGTTGAATGATGTTAAACGTGAACAAATTAATTCGGGGCTCATGAATTTTAAACAAGGGGATAAAGTTTTGATTCATCTCAATTATGGAAAAACTGATAAATCAATGACAAAAAGAAGACGAAGATTTGACACAATAGCTGAATTTGTTAGATATATTAACGGCAATGCATTAGTTGAGGTTAACAATAAATTAATAGAAATTCCGATTTATTTTATTACTCCATTATATTTAAATAATATTTAATTTTTTTATTTCGTAAGAAAATGAGTGACAACGAAGCAGTCAAGAGTCCAGACGATGAATATAAAAAGAAACTAAACAGAATTAAATCAAAAATATGCTATTACAAAAAGAAGTCGCAATGCGGTGGGGTTGAAAACGATAAAGAGAGGAAAGAAATAATCGAAAAATTAGAAACTTATCGTTCAATCCTTAAACTGAGTGAAGCAAAAATAAAAGAATTTAATAGAATAAATAAATTGATTGGAAGAGATGAATTTAATAAAGATGAATTTTTAAACTCTATCCAAATTTAATTTTTATTCCTCTTCGACAACATCTCTCTTTCCATCATTACCGCATAACCACATTTTCTCAATTTTAGTGGTTTGTTATTTTTAACATGTTCTTGCATCATTTTTATCATTTCCTCCCTTGTTATGATTCGTGGTAAATTTTGAGCTTGTGGGGTATTCATTTATGATAAAAATAAAAATTTGATGTTATCGTTATTTTATCGTGAAGTGACTCAAAGAGTCCGGAGACAAAGTCTCATGTTTTTAGGTTCTTCAATAATTAATTATTTTTGAATAACTGGGAAATAAATTTACGTCAAATATGCAATTTATAAAATCTTATGTCGACAGGCTACGTAGCACAGTGGTCTAAGGTGGTGTTATGGAGGGGTCAAGGTCTGTGGTTCGAACCGCGACAGCGCCGTATTTTCTTATTTTCTTTATTTGTCTTGTTTGTCGTGAATAAAAAGTGTCATAAAAGTGCTCTATCTTCCACGGGAATAAATAAAAAATTTACTTTATTTCTTCTTTATTTCTTTGTTCCCGTGGAAGAAGGGTTTTGCTGTTTTTTCTCAGCCGAAATCAATGATTTTTTCATTTTTGGAATCCTTAGCGAATGAGGAATCTTTTCTCTCGTGGAAGCTTTGACCAAAAATAAGCCGCTAGCGGCAAGGGCGAAGCCCATAATTTAGGTGAAGAGACCCAAAGGGTCTGTTTTTTCACCTGTTTTTTCACCTCTTGAATTTTCGTGAATTTTCACAAAAGACCAAAAATAAAGTTAGTTTTTATTTTATTTTATTTATTTTTTTACTTTGTATGTAAGAACAGAAATGTCAGTCGAAGCAAAAACATTCACGAACAAATCTAATGGTGAAACATTCACAAAAGGCACTTATAACGGTATTGAAGTCTTACGTAGAGACAAGGATGGTTACATTAATGCAACAAAGATGGCGAGAGAAGCAGGAAAGTTAAACCATTTAAACAGATTTCTCAATAGTGCTAAAATGCAGGAAATTCTTGAGTTTTGGTTGAAAGAATACGGTCGAGCCAAAAGTGGCTCAACCTCAAAACAAGCATTTTATGAGCTTACTAAGGGCGTTATGAATGAATTCAAAGGTATTTACATACATCCTGACCTCGTTCATTTTGTTGCTGAATGGTGCTCTGTAAAGTATGCATTTTATGTCAAAGATATTATGGACTCCATAGACAAGAAAGTTCATGAGAAGTTAGATGAAGAAGAACTCGAAGATACAGTGGAGAATGCTAAACCTTTGTTCGAAGAAGAAGTTGGAAAAACGTGTGAAAAACAATTAGAACATGAACGTGAGATATATTATGGTTATAGAGATTCTCCATACGAACTAGACCAATGGGAACAAGAAGATTTAAAGAGAGAATTTAGAGAATATGAACTCGCTAAGATAGCATTTGAAGCTGCAGAAAAGAAGTTAAAAGTTTGGGGTCGTTTTGTACAAAAATATTGTGAGTAAATGAACCATTTATTTTTATTGAATTCAGTAAAAATAATGTTTAGGTGAAGAGACCCTTTGGGTCTGTTTTCTCACCTCTTTTTATGGTAGTAGTGAAATAAAATTTTGTTATCAGTTATTTTATCATCATTTTATTAAGTTCATCTTTAGTTAATAATTTGAATGGATTCGCTAATGTTCCACCTTGAGTCACAACACTTGCCCCGGCTAATTGTGAAGAACCTGGGATAAGTACTCCATGAAATGATTTCATTGGTATCATTAATTTAGAAATAGTTGGCTTAATTAATTTGGTCATTTATGATAAAAATAAAATTGCATAATTTAAATTTTTTTTCTTTCTCATTTTCTCATTTTCTCATTTTTCATTCTGTTTTGGTTTCAGCAACTTTTCAAGTTGTTGTCTTGTCAGTAACTTTAATTTTAACTTTGGATCAAATATTGGGTTTCCATCTTTATCTCTTCCAATAACACCATATGGTAGAATCTTCATTTATACTAAAATAAAAATTTAAATTATGCTGTTTGCTCTTTTGGAGCTCCTAAAGTTTGTTTCACAAACATTGAGCGTTCATTGAACTCTATACCATGCGAATACAGTCATAAATGGTGGCATGTAATCTTTACTTTGTCCCGTTGTTTGTGTATATCCTGAAACGCGATGTGTATGGTTTCCTTCTCCCTGAGTGTCACTCCAGTAACAATTTATGGCAAATTTAACATCATCTTTAACATCATATCCTTTACCTTTTGTCATTCCTGACCAATCCCAATATCTATGCTTATGCCAACCTGCTTGAGATGTGCTTAAATCTATGTAGTGACTGTGTGCAGGTAAATTTTCACCCGTAATTGTTTTACTTCCCCCTGTTTCCTTTGAAGAGTTTGCACAATACAAAAACCTGTCGACTATTTGTTCCCATGCACCAACACCAAACATTGCTTGAGGACCTCTCACATCCATAGATGTATAAATAGAACCTACTGGGTTCATTAAATCAAACATATGAGATATTATAGGATTGTCTCTTTTGAACTTAAAATATAGTGTAACTATTTCGGGTTTCTTCTGGTTTGTGTCAGAATATTTTTTATAATATAATCTTATGTTTTCAGGGTATGTAAAATCTTGACTATAATATTTATTTTTGTCATCTTCATAATAGTATACTATTCTCGTTTTTTCTATTGCATTATATCTTTTATATCTATAATAATCTAAATATAATGTTTGCTTTTTTGGGTCTACATGTGCGTCAACACCATAGTCATAATAATACGGTGCTGGAGCTACGTTAGACAATGTCATATCCGTCATTTCATAAACTCTTAAATATTTCTTTTGTTCGTCTCCATATAAGTTTAAGTAGCAGTTGTTGTCTAATGGAACTTTAACTTGTGTGCCATTATTCTTTATATAGCCTACATACATTTCATTGTTATTTTTCGGAATGAGTTTATACCGTATACCATTTCTTAAGGACTGTACAAACTCCCATCTAAAATATTTGTTTTCTTCATTGACAGAAAAGTCGCCAACAATAGTTTCAATATTTTTTGTTCCAACTAAACTTTGGTATATTTCGTTAACAAATGATATATCTGCTTTCTTTGCTAACTCATCGTTAACATATTCCTTATCTGCTTTCTTTGCTAACTCATCGTTAACATATTCCTTATCTGCTTTCTTTGCTAACTCATCGTTAACATATTCCTTATCTGCTTTCTTTGCTAACTCATCGTTAACATATTCCTTATCTGCTTTCTTTGCTAACTCATCGTTAACAAATGATATATCTGCTTTCTTTGCTAACTCATCGTTAACATATTCCTTATCTGCTTTCTTCATTATGTCATTTAGGAAACCTTTTATGAATTCCTCATTTAAATTAAATCTTCCAATCTTCAAAACTTTAGGAAATGCATTTAATGCGTAATATCTTTGTTCTTCTGGTGGAATTGATGTTATATCATCCGTTATTCCTTTAATTTTTGAATTCATAAATAAAATTTCTTTTATATTTGATATCACTGCACCACCTTTGCAAACGAATTCGAAATGGTCATTTTTCAATACTATCTCCAAATCTCCATATTTCAACATTTGCGTTTGTTCTGCCGTCTTTGAATTATATGCATATATGGCGTATGTAATGGTCTGTGGTTGCTGTTGTTTAATCATTTATTACGATTTAAAAATAAATATTTAATCTGTTATCTCATCAGCTATTTTTTCTATTTGAAATTGCCATAATATTTCATTCATAAATTCTAAATCACAATCAAATAGGTCAGTTATTCTAAATTTAATATTTGATAAATCTTTTGAATGAAGAATAAATGAATTCCCGGATAATTGAAACGGATATGATAAAGAAAATATGTTTAAGTTGATGGATAAAATGTTTTGTATTGATGGGTAAGAGTTAGGGTCTAATGTTTGATGTGAAAATCTCATTGGGGTATTAACTTTATCACATTTGATTAAAATGAAATTAGAACCAGTGTCAGAATACAAAACATCCCCAACATCTTTTTCAAAATTTAATATCCCCAACAATGAACGAAGACGAGGAGTACAAAATTTAATTTTCAGCGGAAATTTAATAAGGTTATTTATTTCATCAAGTTCAAAAAGTTTATCAGGTTTTGATTTAAAATTTTCTTCATACCATACGATAAATGATTCATTTAAATAACTTAAAATCATGTTAATATCCCATTTCGTTATCACATTATTTATATACATATCATACGTTTTTAGGTCTACGACCCCGCCGCTATGCGGCTCATGGTCATCTTTAATAAATGATATATAATCTGAAGGGTCTAAAAGAATGGGATTAAATTTACCACTCACAGAAACGAGAGTAACATTATAAATTCCGCTAACTGTTAAATTTAATTCACAGTTATTATTCGAAATAATATTGATAATTGACATTTTTTTATTACGATTAAAAATATGGTAAAGCGTTATTTTCCAGTGATAAATAAAACTAGAATAAGATTACCTCAAGAATTCATAAATTCAACGAATAAGAAATTCATTCATGTTATAAATTTTAGTGTTTTCAGAAAATATGAGTCGATGTCATATTCATCATCAGGTTATATTTCACTTCATTCAAATTTAGTTCAATCAAACCCATATAATGACCATTTCATAAGATTTTCAGATGGTATTAAAAATGTAATTGATAGATTAAAATATGAACAGATTGACAATATCGAATTTTTGGAATTTTGGTTTAAATATCCCGATGGAAAAAAGATTGAAGTTAAAGATAAAGCTGATACTATAACAAAAACAATTACAATGACCGATCCGGATAGTGGGGAACAAAAAGAAATAAAACAAACGATAGAAACTGGTGAAAGGTCAATTATTATCGATTATGATTCAAAGGATTATTATTCGATAATGTTAATGCTTGAATATTAAATAGCCTTAACAAAGAATTTTTCAAGTGATATTTTATATTCATCAACTATTTTATTATAAATATCATTATATGTTAAATGAAGTTCAGTTGTTGTTCCGTTCTTTGATATCTTAATTGTGCTAATATCCTTTATAGGATTTATTTTTGCAACTGTTCCGCAGCATGAAACCTCATCATCTATGAAAAATTGAATCTTCACGTCTGAATCTTGAACATCACAAAGAATGGCGATAATGTGAATTAATGATTCATAAGGTAAAATAATTAAACCGGATTGGTCAATTAAATTTATTATTGAATCATAATTATCAGTTATGATATCACGGTAAATTTTCATTAATTCAGAATTAATGTCTATTTTATATGGCGCATTGCGACTGTAATCGTAGATTCCTGGGTTCTCGATGTTTGATGAAAGAGGTGGGGGGTATGTTGGATAAGTGGGAATTTCAACAGGTTCTTTACCAGGTTCAGATAAAATGATTGGGTCTCCATTCTCACGGTTTTCTTCATTCTCCTCATTCTTCGGTAAGTCACGAGTTAATAAATTTGGTTGAGTTGCTGACCTTGTTAATTCAGGACTAACATTAACTTTAACATTTTGAATAATTCGTGATTTATCATCATTTACGTTATAACCAACCGTAATCTCTGCTTTTGCGTTAGTGTTCTTTTGACTAGTGAAACGTCTTCTCATTTATATTCGAATAAAAAAATATATTTAAACTTTTATTTTGCTGGAACTTTTGAATCTATTATTTCCTGTATTTGTTCATGAAGTTGATTTTTAGCATTTTCATCGAAATTAATAGACCGAATATATTCATTAATTGCATTCTTATAATCATCTGATTTCTCAAATTTTCTTTTATCTGATTCCTTAACTAAATCATAAGTTAAACCTCGTTGCTGATATAATGGTTTCTTAATTAAATCTTTGAATGCTTGAGATAAAGCACCTGATGCAATTCTTGCTACTATAATTGGTTGGAATTGCTGTTTAAGTTCATCTTTAACATTTGCGAAAACTGGATCGAATAAAGCAACTTTAAAGAATTTCTTAGCTGGAATTTCAGGTCTTAAATTTGCATATTGACCATCAAACTGGTTAGAATATCGTGGTAATCCATCCGGTCCCTCTTCAATAGCATTTAATTCTTCATTGAAGTAAGAATATGGATTATGACGGTATGAATTAATTGGACCATTTTCACCTTCTCCAATGTATTGTTTAACAGCTTTTCCATTTTCATCAAATTGCATAGGATAATGTTCATTATATGCTTTACGTTTAGGATAATCCGTCATTGTTAATTTATACCCATTTATGACTTTAATATTTCCTTGACCATCAGTAACGAAAACTTCATTTATTCCATCAGGTTTTCCATTTGGACCCGTAATGTCTGCTTCGTGTGCTTCCCAATTTGGTCCGTGACGTTTGGCATATGCTTGAGCTTCTGGTAATGTTAAAACGTTTCTCATTTGTTTAACATCCTTTTGAAGACCGGCAACAATGTGGACTAATTCTTTCATTCCGTCTGGAACTTTCATAGTTCTATTATATGCACCCTTTTTGTTTGTTCCTTGTTTTAATGGAACCTGTAGAAGATTTGCAATTTCTGTCATGTTTAATTATAAATAAAAAATAAAAATTAATTATAAAAAGTTATTCGAATTTAATGGAACCTTTATTTAAATCAACTATTATTTTTCCATGTTCTCCTAATTGTTGATATTGTGTGTAAAGTTCATTAATGCTCATTGGTAAATTCACTTGATAAAGCATAACGTTCAACTGTTGACGACTAAAACCACTGAAAATGAAAAGGGTGGACAGGTTTGATTTAATGTTTGTGCTTAATGCTTTAAAGTATTGAACAGCCATGAAGAATGAACACTGAATGTGTCGACATTGAGTTAATAATTGATTAAAATATGATTTCTCATTAGTTATTAGTTTTGATTTCACCGCATCATCTAGAAAAATGAGTGAATGCAAAAATTCTCTATCAAAATTTGAAATAGAAAGTGTTTCAAATAATTCATCCCGTTGTTTATCAATAATTTTATCCTCTAATCCTTGCTTCTTGATTGTATTATATAATTCTTTATACATTACAAAGTTTTTTAAATAATCTTCTGCTTCTTCTTGTGATAAATAAATAATTGGAATTTTGATTAAATGCTTTAAAGATTCAAATGTATCATCTGAAGGTGAACCTGAACGGTTGATATAAATTAACACATGTGAATAGGGGAAGTGTTAGCAATAATGATAATTTGTTTTAATATCGTTAATGTTTTACCTTTATTTTGTTTACCAATTGCTGCAGTGATTGAATTTAAGTAACATTCAGAATATGGAATTTTCATTAATTTTTCCTTAGATAGAGCATTTCTATTATCACTCAATGCTTCATTAATCATATCATCTACGTATGTATTATATACTCCTGCTAATTCTTCATAAGGGGTGGATGAATTTAAATCCATTTAATCAAAAATAAATTTATAATTTTAAACATTTCTATTCATCAATATTTCATCATATGAACTTCTATACTGCGGTGGTGTACCTGTTGGATGATATTTCAAACCTTCATCCGGTGTCCATGTCCAATATGTAGTCCTAGTAAACCAAACCTGAGGAGGATTTGTCACTTTTGAACAGTAAGTGTCATTTTCACCCTGAATGATTGGATAAGCTTTCACTTGTACTGTAACTTGTGAGTTGAAAGTTTCTAATCCATCAAAGAATATACCCGCTCCATCACGTTGAACTGGAATAGTGCATAAGAATGAAGTTTGGTCTTTCCATGTTCTAGCTAATGGTGTGCCATCATCATCATTCAGTGGTCTAGTTAATGAGTCCTCGTATTCTTCTGTGCATTCATTCACTCCATCTAAATCAGAAGCTTGAAGCATACGTGTAAAGAATATGTCACCCACTGTGGTCATCGCTTGATCGGGGAAGTTTCTGGAATCTATAGTGACCTGAAGACCTCGAAGCATTGGATTTTCTAAAACCGTTCTTTGCATTGCATTCTTCGGAAATGTTAACACAACATCTGTAACATTATGAAGAGCGTATGAGAAATCTGAGCTAATACCTTCAGGAGTGATGCAACCTCCATTTAGTGAACGAACGTCAATATGTTGAGCTGGAATCATGAATGGATCTTCCTTACTAAATAAACGTGGTATTGCTTTAACTGATTCTTCAATTAAACCGTATCCTGGTGTAATGCATTTATCCTCTAAAACTTCCATCTTTGTGCATGAAATAATAACGTCTTCAACTGTTGCGTCAGCAGATGTAGCGGCTAAGCTTGTAATTAATTTGGCAGGAAGTCCGATTTGTTGGAATTTGCGATCATATTTATAAACATGATTCATAATCTTTTCATAATTTTCATCAGTTATCTTTTCATAAACGTAATTTTGTAAATCAGCAACTCTTAACGGGTCAACCTGACAAAATACTAAAGTATCCCTGAAAACATAATATTTAAGAATGATTTCACCAAATGATTTAGGATAATCATCGAACGCCTGAAATGCTAACAAATCATTTACCGGAATAATCATATCAAAAGTGACATCAACTTCTTCATTTGCTTTCTTGAAAACTTCTGAAGGGTCAATATATTTACCACATACTGAGTTATCATATTTTTGAACATTATTATATAACGAATGAACAAACTTTTTAACTTTCCTTTCTGATTTTGGTTTATATGTTGCAAATGCGAAAGATTCACGGGCGCAATCCATCTGAAGATAACCAGCATCACCTCTTTCGGTTTCTACTTCTAATTTTAAAGCTTTGATTTGATGATTTGTAACCAACGAATAAACGCATGCATTTAAAAGCGGCATCACATGTGAAAGCTTTATTTGAAACTAGAGTTGCTTTAACTTTGCGTTTAATATATGTGTCACCTAATTGGTTCACATCATGAGCCGGATTTGTAATTCTTAAATGAGTTTGTTTATCATCAAAATATGGAGCATCAGAGTCATAGCATGAACTTTCAAGTTCTCTATAATATCTTCTTCCATCATTCTTTGCGAATATTTCATTTATCTTTTCGAATGAATGAAATACATTTCCATTAATCGGTTTAGTGTTTGGCACTAAATAGTTAGTCGTCATTTATTATTAAATAAAAAATCAAAATTAAAAGATGAAAATGAATTTTTAATTTTAATGAAATAATCAACTATGGCTGCAGGATTCTTTAAGAAACTGTGGGATAAAGTAAAAAGAGGAGCGCATAAAGTTTGGGAAGGGATTAAGAAAGGAGCAAATTGGATATTTAAGAATAAAGAAGCAATTAGTGACGTTGCTGAACAAATAGCACCTAATGTTCCGGTAAGGGAAGTATTAAATAAAGGAGATAAGGTTTATCGTCGACTACAACCGATACTAAGATAAAAATAATATTTATTTATTTTTCCACTATCTACCCCCTATTTTATTAAGTATTCCTTCAGCAATTCCACCAACTGCGTTACCTGCTTGTGCTCCCATCGCCGGATTACCTGCTTTAGCACCTAATACTCCTCCTATGATAGTTCCTGCCGTTTTCGCTACTGGTGCCAAAAAGTTTGCAACGGGTTTAATAATCTTTTGATGAACCCAACTTGCAGCTTTCTTAATTCCTTCCCATAATTTTTTAAAGAATCCTGCCGCCATCTCTGATTTAATATTAATTAAAAAATATATTTCATCACTTATATTCTAATTTTTTATTTAATGATAAATGAAACCGATTTTAAAAATAAATGAAACAGAGGAGGAAGAAATAAATGAAAGTGAAAATGTTCAACAAAAAATAAACGTTGTTAAACCAATTACTGAAATAAAAATTTTTTCATCTGTTGATGAATTTAATGACTATTATGCTAATAATAAAAAATTATTTGAAGAATTGACAACATGTAAATTGAATAAAATGTTTAAAGTTGAGGACAGAGTCCAAGACCCGGAGGGTCATGGATTCAAAATTTCAAAAATAAAAGGTGTTGTTAGTTTAAAATCTATTCCTCAATCAAGAATCACCTCATTAATGAAAATTGATGATTTAACAAAAAGAATAGAAATTATTGAAGAGCGAATAAATCAAATTATTGATTTCATAAATCATGACTCGTTGAGCCCGGGTCCTTAAAGCTCAAGGCACAAAGTGCCCAGGACTTAAAGTCCATCACTGAGTTCAAGGTTATATTCATCAAATATTTCATTATTAAATGCAACTTCTGCTAGTTTATTTATTTTTTCAATACGATCATTTGAAAGTCTATCGTTTAATTTTTTCTGAAGTTTTTCATTTTCTAGTTCTGAAACTTTATTTGGATGATATTTAAACCCGTTAAATTCTTTTTCCTCAGTTTTGATCATTAATTTACAAAGAACTTTTGTGGTTGGAATTCGTTTAAACCATTTATCATTAATATTTGTTATAAATTCAATATCTGGAATTAATTCCCAAATTTTTGCATTTTCAATTAATTTATTATCAAATGCAAAAGCAATAGGTTTAATATTAAACTTACCTTTATAATATATACTTTCTACATAATCATCGAAATAAACATCTACTTGTTTAACATTTTCAAGAATTGGTGAAAGAACATCCATTAATTGATTGACGGTTACGAATCTTGATCCACTCATTTTCATACGAATTAAAAAAATAAATTATTCAAAAAATGTAAGACATGAATTTTTAAAGTTTATTTTTCATTCATGAATGATAATTATATCTGATTTCTTTTATTCTCTCGTACATACTAGATTTGAAGAATTCAGAACTTTTACCATAATCTCCTAAATGTTTTCTTATCCCTAACGTGTGCCAGTTATTATATGAAACTGAATAAACTTTATCTTTATCTTTACACCTTTCATCACTTCCAATATATTTATATCTCAGTTTTGATTTAGCATTTTCATATTCATTAACGTTTAATAATTCACAGTCTTCCTTTTTAAATAAATGTTTTATGTATTCAGGATTTAATACTCTACGTTTATATGCTCCTAACTTAGTTCTAAAGGTTTTTCTACAAAATTTAGGAATTCCATCCTCTTTAATGTCATCAATGATTTCCATTTCATTATTTTCAATTTCTTCTTCTCGTTTATGAGGTCTTTGATTATGACTCCATTGATTCCATGAAATTAAATATTCTTTATCATTATATTTATACCTCATTAGCTTATTTTGGCTTTCATATTCATTTAATAATTCACAATCTTCATTTTTAAATTGAAGTTTAACCCATTCAGGATTTAAACAATGTTTAATTAATCGCGGAATATCTGACATCATCTATATATATAGCTTCTTTTATAAAAGATAAAAAAATAAATTATTTTAAAATTAATGTTAATTTTTTAATGATTTATAAATAAATATATTTTAATGCATCGTCTATATATAGATGTAACAAAAAAAGTCACACAACCCGCACTCATCTACTACTATTGAATATTTATTCACAAAGTTTTTTTCAAAATTCTGATGATTCAAGCTACAATGAGCAAAATTTAATAGGATTATTAATCAGAAAAAGATCTCAATCATTAATGTCCGCTCATTAACTTTGTTTTAATTTGAATATCTCCCTTGAGCAAATTTTCACAATTTCAACAAAGTTATTCATCAGGTGTAGTCAAAAATTTACACGTATTACTTAAAGAGCAGTTAAGTTAAATGAATTTGGCATTTTATTTTTACATTCACAACGAGTCGTAGGTAATTAGGTAGATTAAATTAGATCAAGAGGCAGCACTTTGATTGCTTAGCTGTGGCACTCTTGGATTTTGGTTCGGCGGGTAAATCTGACCAAACTTTTCTAAGTTGAGCAACAATATCATCGTGGACGACATCAATTGCACGGTTACCATCAACTGAGATAACTTTGTTCTCGGCTTGGAATTTCTCAATAACTGGACGAGTTTGGTTATTATATGTAACTAAGCGCTTCTTGATTGACTCTTCGTTATCATCGATACGGCCGGATGTCTTACCGCGGTTAAGAAGACGCTTTGTAAGTTCATCATCTGGAACATCGATGAAAAGTAAGGCAACACATGGTTTGCACTTCTCAACAAACTCGGCTTCTTGAGAAAGGTCACGTGGGAAGCCATCGATGAACCAGTGCTTCTGCTTTCCTTGCACCATTGCATCACGGAGGAGTTTGATTGTCACATGAGCAGGAACAAGCTTACCTTCGGCAATAATCTGATCAATTTCTTTATATTCGGCGAGAAGATTCTCATCAAAGCCAGCTGGTGGGTTCTTTGCTATCTTAGAAGCATTTCGAAGGAGATCACCTGCAGATAAGTAGCCAATATCGAACTCTTGGGATATTCTTGTTGCTTGTGTTCCCTTTCCAGAACCTGGACCACCAAGAACGAAGATAATATCTTTATCCTCCATTTTTTGAGCAATGGAAAAACGTTATTAAAAAATCCCCTTACATTTTCAAAAAACTCACACAATTTTTCAATACCGCTAACGATAAATAGAATAGTCGGAATTTCATTTTGATCTGTATTCCATAAAATATAAGATATTAGTTTTTTTTTGACAAATAAGTCGCTTTTGATGTCACAAACATTTCAAGAATATCCGACCACTTACGAAGAAATCATAATTTATGAGTTCTTATTAGCTAGAAAGTTAATATCAAAAGTTTTCAAAAGAAATCGTCATATTCTGTGTTGATATTTCGAAAGAATGTATCCTATGCAATGAATTAGAACCTAAATATCAATAAGATTCAAATGGAAAAGCAATATCAATAGGCATCAATAACGTTTATTCTTCTATTATAAAATGAAATATAAAATATCAAAATAAAGACTTTGAAACAAATAGAAAAGACGATCAATCATAAAGTACATGACACAATTTCTCTTTCTGAGGAGTCCATTTCTTAGGCTCGTTATGTTCATGATTTTCCGCGGCAGATGGTGTTTTAAGTTGACCAAGGATTGTATTTTTAGCATCGGGGCTCTTTAAAATATTGTAAGCTTCAGGGTTTGGTACTTGTTTTAATTGAGGGATCTCTACGAAAGAATTATAAATTGCCTGAATGAGTTCATAAATCCTTGTGTATCTGTTCCACTCATTGATAAGCAATTGCGAGGCAAAATTTGTACTATGTGGATTTATTAAAGGATGAACGATTCCTGATTGGAAAATTACATCAGGAATATTATTGGGATAATTTTCTAAGTATATATTATAAATGATAATTTTACCATTGTAAAATCCATTATTTGGAGTCATGCAGACTTGCCACTGACGCATTGTTCGTATAGAAGGCTGAACAACAATTTCCTTAGGCAATTGTTCAACGCATGCTTGAAATTCAAGAAGTAGGCATTGACTGGCAAATGATTCCATTTAATTTTATATTAATATAGGGGATTACACCTGAATATCCCAAAATTCCTAATACCTTTTGGTTATTGTTTCTTTTGGATTTAATTATCAAAACAATGCCCAAAAAAAGACATACTAAAATCAAAGATAAATAAGAAAAATAAGAAAAATTTAACAAATATAATTTTATTCGCAAACGAACAGGCTAATATTCATGAAAAATCTATGAGGATTTCACCCATTTTGCTTGGTTAATATCTTCTTCTGTTGAAGTAAGAGTGAATTTTCCTTCTGTATGTTTATAGGCCAAATACTTTCCTATATCTGGAACGGCCTTTGTACATTCTTCAAATCCATGAGTTGCAAAGTATCCGCTAGAGTTGCATAGGGCCGATTGAGGTTTCATTGTTCCTATAAGTTTTCCGAAAATGTCGATATCAACAATGATTATACTATTGTTATACCAACGAACACCACAAATAGGGAATAAAGAGGGTTGGAAATGTACAATCTGTAAGGCGTTCCAAAGTTTATGTTCGAAACGAATAATTCTGTTAGAACGCTTGCAAAATAATATCTTTTTTAAACCATCAATTTGAATTGGATAATTATATTTTGAAAAAACTTCTTTGGGATAAAAATTCATTAATGCTGGATTAATAAAGATTTTTTGAAAGCCAACTATCAATTTTTGAGTTTTAAAAGCAGGAAACATGATTTGATTATTTGGAGCAGTGTTAACATTTGGAATAATATCAGATAAAACAAATTTTACAACACTCCCAACACCAGTGGGATACGAATATCCAATTGAGAGGTTCTTTTTATTGATATCAAGTTTCGCAACACGATCTTTAATTTTATTCTGATGGGACAATTGTAAACGTAAATTTTGTGAGATTTACAACATTTTCAAAACTCAAATCGGAATATGTTAAAGGATCTAGTTTTTAAAATATAATTCCATTTTCATAAAATCATTTTCATTGAGGACTCACAAATCTATCAAAACATATTTTAATAGCATAATTGATTAATTATAGTTAAATAGTATATTGCGGATATAAGTTTATAATTCACATGAACGTTCATTTTTGATAACCATAGAATTCATTATTAATATGTATGGTATACTATAAATTTTTCTCATATCAATTATATTTTGAATTCGTAATACAAAAGCTGCAAATTTTGTATACTCAAACAAAAATCGAAATTGAGTCGCTTGTTTTTTCATATTTTAAACCAAATATTAAAATTTTTAAAATTTTTTCAAGTTTTCAAATGTTTACAATAGTATCGACTATACACCAAGATGGTATATAGTACATTTATTTTCAAAAGATTTTTGAGATATCCCATCAAATTTTGAAAACATTTTTCAAAGAAGCAAAATGATTGATGTATCTACAGACATGTCTGCCATAGAAGGCATAAGGTATCTAATACCCAAGCGTCCTTTTACACGCATTATCTTCTCAAGGGCAGAAGATAATAGATTAATGGAACTTTGGAAGAGATATCCGAATAAATGGAATGAAATATCAGAAAAAATGGGGAAAAGATCCCCGACCATTTGCAAGAATAGAGTCAGGTACCTATTAGATCGTGATCATACTACTTGGACAGCGGATAATGACAGATTACTCATTGAATTAGTTAGAAAATTCGATACCAATTTCCGAATTATTCAAAAATTTTTCCCTAATCATACAGAAAACTTCCTTAAGAACAGATGGGAGCAGAATATTAAATACAAAGTAGTTGATAACTATGTGAAAGAATTACTTACAATTTCAGCAAATCTCATGAGTGATTCAGATTCAGTTTATGATACACTTGGATTTGATGAAAGTGATGAATCAGAATTCTATAGCGACTTTGATTATTATTCAGATTTCTCGGATTATTACTCAGAAGCTAATGCATCTGAGCCAGAAAATGAGAAACTCCTAGGTAGGAGTGGAGTCTCCTTACGAATTTAACCATGATAATCTGTTTATAATTTTTTTTATTACCTAAATATTTTCATGATTGTTATAAAATCTATTTTAAATAAAATTTCCGATTTTTCTACTTCATTAATGTATATGCATGACTAACATAATCATTGGGATTTCAAATTATCACTACAATATTTGGAAACAAATAATTTTGTAAAAAATATCATGTTTTTCTAATTATCACTTTATGATATATGTCATTTGATCATTTAAATTAAAATTTCACCGATGATGTGTCGATAATTCAAAAGAAAATAATTTAATATTTTTCAACCATATCAGATATTATTTGGTTTTCACCAATTTTCGAATTGAATATATCTGAAGTTTTCAAATTTTTTACCAATTCCAAATATTTCGCAACTTAATTTAATCTCAGGGTAATTGAATTCATTAATATAAAATTGAGTGCCTAGCGGTATAACAAAAAAATTTTCACCGAAATAAATTACAATTCTCGATTACTGCATATAAATCCTATAATTCTTATTCAACAATGTAAACTTCACAATTTGTTCGGCAGAAAATTTCTCCAACTTTATTTAAAATTTGTTGATTTCAGAAATTATCATTATCACTTTTAATATATTAACTCTATTCATTTGAAAAACAAGTTTAATTAAATTTCACTGTATCTTTTTTGATTAATGTCATTCAATGTTACAATTAATCATCGTTATCACAAAATGCTGATTTATTCTCATATACATTATTCAATATCTTTTTTTTCTAAACGAAAATTTCATATTAGAAACTCAATTCTATGATACATTTTCGAACATAATTATCTTTAGGGTATTGACAAATTTATCTCTGTTTTGAGTGTGTATTAAAATCCTTATCATTTTGAACAATACGTTCACATATATGTTTATCAAATAACTACATTTGAGCAACATATACTCTGAGACCTTTTGTCGTTCCTTTTTTGCATTATTGAAAGATGGCATCAAACAGATAAATACCAATAACATATATGATTAAAATTGGTTCTCATGATTCCGGTCTTTTTAAATGCTCTAAATTTCGAAAATTATTACTTAAATCTGGGAGCAAACGAAAATTTCGTCACTTTTTAGAAGAGAATAATTCTTCATGGAACAAACCAGAAGTTTTCCCTAGATTGGATTGATCAATAAAGACCAAACTCTCAAGGATAAAAGAGTGAAATACATGAGCCAATATCCACATGTAACTTTTCATTGTTGTCTCGAGTTTTTGATATCAGATTTGCTTATTTTTAAATCGAATATTTTTTTTCTTGAGCATAACAAATTCGAATGTATTCCAGATACCAGATAAGATTCCTAAACACTTTTAATCTAAGAAGTCTAAGTAATTGTAATTGTAGTTCAATGACATTTAAATTATCAGAAATCTCTTGATAGTATCATCTATTTTTGCGATGTAATTTTTGTTAACTTTACATTCTTTAAATTGAAATAAAAAAGATTTTTATTTCTTCAAAAATGCAAATTAGTCATTTTGTGGTTTTTATCATAGCAATTTTAGGGGTCACAACCATTAATAACATTGGTTATTATCCTCTAGTACAAACATATGGAATTTTCGTTCGGACTCATGTTCCTACACTTAAATCAACAAATAAACTACCTGCGTCATGCATAATAGAAAAAATAAACATAAACAAAAAAGTTATTCCACAACGAAAGGAGCTATTTTATGTTTCAAACAAATATCAAGAAACATGTCGTGAATTAGAAAAAACAAAAATGCTTGAATTATACGTAGATATTAACAAAATCGAGGCACAGATACTATGCTTGCGTAACATGTATACAACATACGCAGGAGTTGCGGCAAATAACGAAAATGCATTTCATCCTGTTAAAAAACTATGGTTTTATGATGATACTGGAGGAAATGTAATAGGAAGTTATGATACAGTAATCAGTCTAGGACATTCAAATTGTGTTAGCTACAGTCATTTCTTTCAAGACACAATTGCTCCATTAATGCTGATTCCAAAAGATGTATGGGAAAATGCCTACATTGTAGGATACGGGCTACCTCAAGTTGTGAAGGAAACTTTCAAATTACTTGGCTTTGAAAATAGAGTTATTAAATTACGAATGAAACAGTGGATTTTTGCACAGAAACTTTATATAGCAATTAATCCTAGACCTTATATAAGCCACTATGGAACAGCTTTTTTAAACATGAGCAAAATATTTAGGTCATATTTCAAACTTCAGGATATAATCCCAACAGAATATGTATTTATGAACAGAGACTCTAAAATGAGAAAGATTGGAAATATGGAAGAAATATTTTACGCTGTAAAAAGAAATTTTCCAAAAATTCAATGGAAATATAAACAAGATGACTACGGAACATTGAATGAGTCTAGTATAGGCTGGGCCAAAATCAAATTGATCTTTACACCAATAGGAAGCAATGTTATTCGCTGTTTATTTATGAAAGAGAAGACAGCTTGCATCCTTGCAATGGGACAGTTCTTCGATGCTTCTGTCATGAAACAACTTGGTACGTTGGAGATATATACTTGCGTTTTCGTTGTCAATAAAATGGATCATTGGAATACCACCCCGAATATAGTCGATATTCCAGAAATCTTAGGTTTGTTTAGAGCTGCTATACATCATTTAGAGAACGGAACTTGGCCAGGAGTATCAAGTGAAACACACACTTTTATTGCATGATTTTATTATGTAAATCCTTGCTGAGAAACTGTATTATTTTGTTTGTTATAAAATTAGATTAGTATTTTTAACTTCGAAACTAGATTTTATTCTCAGATTTTTAATTTCATATCCTTCACTTTCATTAAAAATGAGAAGAACACTTAGATTATAAATCAAATAATAAAAGAATTTACAAATATTCAACGTAAACGTCAAAAAGCATTACTTTGGTAAAAATTATGATGAAATATCGAACATATTTATACCAACAATTGGCGAATCATCTTTTTATTAAACAGTCATTACATTTTTCCATAGAGATCATTCGATTACATAAACCCATGATTCAGATTATTTCCCAGAAAAAGAGCGAATAACGAAAAGTTACTCTGGAGCATTCAATTAAATAGAAAACATGCAAGTTTATATGAAATTTATGTTTTTACTCTTCTTTACCGACCGCTTTTATAAATACCGATGAATCAAAAAAACAAACGATGAAAGACCTAATTACCATTCAATTTTGTTTGTATGTGTTGATTGAAAAAATTGAATGTAAAATTCAAAACATACAAAGGTTCATTTTCCTCAAAGGCAAATCAAGATAATGTCATATACCATGGATTCTACTCCACTTATTGGCCATAATGCTATGCAAAAGAACATCTACATCCGCGTCGAAGGTGTTGATGCAGGAACATTCCCAATTGATGCAAAATCAGAATATGTAGCATGTGTAGGACCAAGAGCTACATATAGACAACATAAATGCGACTTCCCAGTTGGCGGAAAGCCAAACAATGTCTGGAATTTCAGATATACAGATGCTTACAGATCTTCCTTCTTCGTTGCTTTGTACAAGAAGAGAATTTTCGGTGGTAATATATTAATTGGAGAGCTTGAGCTTAACGTTGCTCAGTTCAAGCCAAACGTCATCACAACCCAGATTGTGACATTAAAGAGTGCAGAAATCAAATATCTCCCACCGAGAGTAAGAATTTCTGTTCACATATCCGAAAACGGCGCTCAGAAATTCTGTGCCCCATTTAATTCAATTAACATTCCTGTTAACCCTGCTCCAAAAGGTGTTGCTTATTACTAAATATATACTATCTGTCCATTTTATTAATCAGAGTTTTTTTTTTTTAATTTCTAATTCCTACCAAAATATGGATTAGGAAGTTCGTATTCTACTAAAAGACCTGAGAAAAATAAAATATAACATAACTGCTATCTTGAGACATGGTAAATCAATTAGAAAACATAAATAAATTATTTAATGATACAACTCAAATAGATGTTGAAAGGAAAAATGATATCCTAATAATAAAAAAGTCATTTAATTAAACTTAACATGTAGAAATGTAAATAAAAAGGAAAATCAATCAATATCTTCGCCAAAAACCTTAATAAATTTCAAAAACTCTTGTTTGTCAAGCCTTCCATTATGATCACGATCGAATCTTTGCATGTAATAATTTGCTTCCTTTTCAAAATCATTGATCAGACCAAACTTAGCTACAATCTTCAAAATTTCCCTATATTCAATACTTCCTGAATGATCATAATCGAATAATTCAAAGGATTTCGAATAAATTTTATCGGGGAATTCACTTAATTTGTTAATTGAAGAAAAGAGTCCTTTATAATCTTCAAATGTAAGGGTATCCTTTTCATTCTTTCCTAAAATCTGCCAAACTAAAATTGCTAATAACTGAGGACCTGGATAACTAAAGAATTCAAAGAATTTTTTGCATTCTTTGAAGTCTAAAGAACCACTGTGATTCATGTCAATGCAATTAAATACTCTTCTGAGCTCCTTTTCTTCCATAAATTTGCGAAAAATGAAGTGAACAGAGTTTATCAAATATAAAATCATCTAAGCTTTATTTTATTTTTATGAATTTAGAGACCGAAAACAAGTTGAAATGATTGGTATCCCAATGTGCGAAATTAAACAGTTGATATTTATCGGATATTTTTAATATTTAATATGTATTATGAAGAGTTCAAGATAAGACATCTCTTGCTATTAAAAGGATTTGAAATACTAAAATACTTTCTTTTATAACATTTTTTTTGTTTCATATCTGCTAATTTACTTTATATTAACAAATGATCATTGCAAATATTTATTTAGAGTTTTCATAATCAACATATTCTTGATAAGTTACTTCAATATGTGCTGATTGGTATCTTTGTAAAGAAACTTTTTCTAATTCTTTTTGGGAAAGTTTATGGTAAATACCACTCTTATAAGCAAGCTCTGCAATTGTTTCTTTCTTTGTCCAGCCTTGTTCTTGAGCAACTTCTGGAAGAAAAGTTGAATTGTAGTCATTATATTCGAAAATTGTGCCATGCTTTCCAACTTCCCAGTCATCTAAATTGCTGCACTTCTCAAAAGAATGCAAAAAGCTGACTTCGCACTTAAGTTTCGGAATTTCATCTGCTTTCATTGGACTAAAACGATCATCTTTGAATGCGGCGATCTTAGAGTAGCGAACTAATCCATCGGGCATCTTCATTGATGAGAATGTACCAATGCATCCTCTTAAATCTCCATCTTTGAACCAAGTGCAAAACAAAGGATAGGAAGTATTTGGAAATTTCGCATTTATGGCATCAAGTGCCTTATGGTAGTTCGTTCCTTTGAGCTGATTCTCTATTGTTTCAAAACAGACAAAACAATGCTCTTTTATCACAACTTCCATCGTGAGATTTTTTTCTTTTGTTTACGGGTCCACTGTAAGGCCAAATAAGGCCTATCGTCATCCCAAAAATATTGCTCAAGATGGTGTTTTACTAAGACCCAAAACTTAAAAAAACACAAAAAAATTAACTTTACTCTTTTGAGATCCTTATCAGATGTGCAACAATTTGATGCAGTATCGCAATTCGAATCCGATTTTTTAATGTAGATGTACTCTAACATTCTTGAAAAAACGCAAAATGATATTAATTAAGCTTTTCATTTCTGTATCATACACGAAACAAAATCATTTATTATACTAAAATTTATCAAAGTTTGAATAATGAAAAAAATAATATCTAAATTTTTACATTGAGTCGGCTATTGATATGGTCAATATTAAATCGTTTAAAAATGGGGATTGGCCAGAATAATACCCACTAAAATACACTTTTTTTAAATGTTATCAATTTGTTATGGTATATCTTTATGATAATGAATAAAATGCTTATCTTTCATAAGTAAATACATAATTTATGCTGAAACACAAAAAATAACACGAAAATTTTTTGCCAACATTTCAAAACTAAGGATAATGTTTTGAATATATAAACAAAAAAAAAGGTATTGGGGCTTCCAGGGCTGCGCCCCTCTAGCCCCCTGAAGATGTTTAGTATAACATGCAGTTTATATAAAATGAGGTTTTTTGGGTGAAGCGGGCTTCCCAGGCACTTCGTGCCTTCTAGCCCTAAAAATTTTTGAAAGTCGTTGCTGTTGACTTTTCGGTAGAGGACTCAAAATAGTAGAACTATGTCCGGACAAGTAAGGGTCTATCGTCGCTACAGAAAAGTTACGGGCGTTCAAAGAAATATACTTTGAGAAGCCTTTTCTTCCTTATAGAATGAGATAGGATGGTTATTTTACAAAACCGACAAGACTTACCGAGTAGTTTTCATGTTTTGTCACTTCTCTGTCACTTTTCAGGGAAAAAACATTTTTATTAAATATAAAATGAATTTTACAAAACCACCGTTACCCTTCTTTGGAAATAAGAGTAGATGTAAAGATATTCTATTGAGAGAAATTAAGAAACTACCGAATGGTCTAACATTTGTAGATTTGTTCGGTGGAAGTTTCTATATATCTCATTTGTGCCATACTATATTCCCAGACTCAAAGATTATATGCAATGACTTCGACAACTACATGAACCGTCTCAAACATATACCAGACACAAACAAAATATTGAGTGAGTTGAAAGAAAAGATACCTATAGGTAAGATGGAACGTATACCATTAGATAAGAAAAATACTGTCAGAGAGGTTTTGAAAAAAGCAGAGTATATTGACTGGGATAGTATATCTTCTAGACTATTGTATAGTGGTTCTATAAGAGTTCATGACATTGAAACACTTATGTCAAACGTTTTATATCTTAACTATACAAAGGTTTTCAAAGAGGACATAGAAAAATATACTGAGGGTATAGAGTTTGTGAGATGTCATTGGACAGAGTTGTATGAAAAATATAAAAACAAGGAAAATGTTTTCTTTATAGTAGACCCGCCGTTCTATAACACATATGATTTTCAATACCAAGTAGACTGGACTTTGAGAGACTCTTTAGAAACTTTAGACGTTTTACATAACCATCCATGCTTTTACTTTACATCCGATAAAAGTGGTTTGGAAACCGTTATGAGATGGTTAGAGGACATACATGACTATGATTTTAGATACGATAAGATAGAATATGAGAGAGGTCCTATAAACCGGAAAAAGTGTCATAACAAAGAAATTTTATTGGTAACTAAATGTGGTTTGAAATAGGACTACTTGTTTTAGGTTTTTTCCATTGTGTCATTTACTTATTTGACGTGGCAGAAAGATATAGAGAATATGAAGATGAACCAATGCCTGCAAATGTCCAGTATATGTACTCGTAAGAGATATTTTTATCTAATATTAAATGGACGCACAGAACTTAGCGAATGCACAGCAACCCGGACAACCAAACCCAGAGAATATTCCAAATGAAGTTAGAATACAAACTGCAATGGCAAACTATGGTCAAGTGCCAACAGATGTACAAATGCAAACTGCCATGTCAAATGACGCTGCGTTAGGCTTACCACCATGGTATGCAAATATGAGATGGAAAGAGTTTTATACAAACCCTGAAGTGGGATATAAACAACTCTATGCAGATGACGCGAACACAGGAGTTGACCCAGAGTATGTTTTCTACCAGAGGAGAAATAGAATGTATGAGCTCCAGTTAAAAAATGCTATGGAACTCAGAAGGAAACGTAAGAGACTAGGCGGACATTAGATTTTTACATATAGTAAAATGGGTTTCTTCAGTAGTATTGGAAACTTCTTTCGAAATGTTGGAAGAGGTATATGGAATGGAATAAAATCTGTCGGAAGAGGAGTATGGAACGGAGTCAAAAATATTGGTAAAAGAGTAGGTCAGTTCGTTGGTATTATACCTAAAGACCCTGAACCAGAAGAACAAGCTCCTGTTATACAACAGCCTGAACCTGCACCACAGTCAAGTTGGCAACCAAATCCAACACCTCAACCGTATTAAAATTATATTTTTACCGTTCGATAGTAGTTGTATATGAGACTAAGTTCTAAGTAAAACGCATGGTATAATGGAACTATTCTCTTTCTTCCATCTGTAGTAAACCATACTTGAAAGTCTGAAATACTTCCACTCGGCGGTTCATATAGCTTTGTAGGTTTTTCGTAAAAGTCATTTGCCAAGCATAAAAAAGAGTTTTGTGCACCAGAAAATGAAGCATGAACGATAATAGCATCTGAGTCAAAAACATTTTCATATGTTCCATTAGGGTTTTCGACTTCATAAAAGTTCGGGTGTACTGGATATTCTGCAGGCTGATTTAACATCCTCAAAAATCTATACCATGCCAAGTTGTTATATTTTGTAGAAATATAAACGTCTTCTCCAAGGTCTTCTATTCTATTGATTTTAACAGTTGCATTTTTCCTGTCATATAAAATATCGAGATGGTACTCTCCTTCGTCAATGTTGTACTGTTTTGCATATTCGAGATAGATATCGTTTATTTTTTCTTGAAAAGCTTGAAGAGTTGTTTCTAAGTTTACAAGCAAACTAACTTGTAAAAGTTTTCCCTGTACAAATTTCTCATACGCACGTTTTTCTTTGTTATAGTATCGAATTTCAAAACCGACCGTAAATGGGAAACCATGTATGGCTTCTGAAATGAACTTCATTCTACGAAAGCCAACAGCTTTTGTGACGGATGGGTCTCTTAACCATCTTAGTGGGTAGTCAAAACGATAGCCTTCATGCTTTACGGTCTCTGTCTCAAACTTTTGACCGACGTTAGTAAAAAGTTCATCTAATGGTTTAGTTGTAGCAACTCTTGAATTTTCTTTTTCTATTGAAAGCATATTTTATCTAGAATAAAAATGTCGAAAGAAACAGCGTCTATGAGAGAAATACAACACAACCGACAACTCATTGTACAAGCTCTAAATAAGAACACAACAAACTTTTCAAACTATTCTAAGATATCTGAGTCATTGAAAGAAGGAAACTTAAAACTGACGATAAACCCATTGACAGACGAGTTTCTGTTTCAAGACAGTAAGAACCATACTGTTTGTATAAATCCAACAAAAAGAACTTTAAACGAGAAACCTATAGATGAACTTCTTTTGAAAGCAGATATTGACAACAAAGCTGACAAAGAGTATGTCATTGAAAAAGTTCAAGAAGAACATGACAGAGCAGATGCAACATATGCAACGAAAGAACATACTCATCCTGAACTAGCAGACAAAACATATGTTGACAATAAAATGTCAAGTGAAGTGACAAGAGCTGAAAACGAATATTCTAAAAAGACTCATACACATACCATTGCAAATATTACAAACTTACAAGAAACCTTAAACAGTAAAAGTGACGTTGGACATACACATACATCTTCTGAAATAACAGACTTAAACGTTAGCCTTGAAAAGAAGGCAGATAAGAACCATACACACGATTTCTTCGCAACTGTTGGTATAGAAAATATTGAAGGAACGGTTGAAGAAACTGGTGGGGATGTATTAAATTGGAAACCTCCTAACTTTCCACAAGGTTTAACATCGGATGAAGACATAACGACGATGAAATACACTAGATGTAGAAATGTCTATGTCATGGAGGATGAAAACAATGTTAAATTCACTGCTCAAGATTTATATGATAAAAAAGCTGACAAAACAGAGCTTCAAACGTTAAAGACAGAAATACTTCAAACACTATATCCTATAGGTTCTATTTACACGTCAATGAACTCTACCAGACCAGAAGTAGTACTTGGTTTTGGAACTTGGACTCAAATAGTCGACAGGTTTTTGTATTGTGCAAACTCTTCAAAGGAAACAGGTGGAAGTAAAACGATTTCAGGTGAAAACCTACCTGCGCACAGTCACTACATAGATTTAAGTACATCTGAAGCAGGTTGGCATAAGCATAGATTTTGGGATTGGTCAGCAATGAAAAAAGGTAAAGGATATGATGTTAAAGACAACGTTCAGTTTGCTATAAATTGTTTCTGGGGTAACACACAGGGAGAAGGAAACCATACACATCGCGTTTCAGGGTATACGCAAACAACGGGACAAAGTAAAGACTACATGCCACCTTACATGACAGTTTACGCATGGTATAGAAATGCTTAGTCGTCATTTTCAACTTCTTTAGCATATTCGTCAGGAGTTGTCTTATATTTGTTAGGAACTGTCTTTGAAAGTATACCACCTTGAACTTTGACAAGTTTGAAACGAGGTCTGACAATAGTAGTTTTATCTTCTGCTTGCAGTCTGTACATTTTGCCATGTTTGCCTAAAACTTCATAATATTCTCTTGTATACTTTCTTCTATTTTTACGAACACGAATGCGAGTACCTGTCGGGTTCCCATTGTTGTCATAGTCAATAGTATTTTCATATGGGTCGCGTTTAGGTATTTCTATT